TGACAGTGTTCTTCTTCCAGTGCTCAGGCAGAAAATGCTTCATCTGAACATCCCTGCGAAGACTGTACACTTCATTTACAATCTGTTCATGGGACGATCTATCAAAATTCGCAATAAAGGAATGTTAACCTCGCCCAGAACAATCTGGAAGGGTCTACCACAGGGCTCGGTCTTAAGCCCTATTCTTTACAATATCTACACATATGACCTTGAACATTCGATTTCATCTTTCTGTGACATATTACAATATGCAGATGATCTTGCTATCTATGTAACAGCTCCTGATATCCTAACTGCCTCCCATCATCTTAACAGAGGCTTATATTATCTTAATCAATGGCTTACTGACCATGGCCTCTCTCTTTCAGCTTCTAAAAGCAAAACAATAACCTTTAGTAGAAAACGTGTTTTCCCTACTATTGATATCTCATATAATGGTGAATCTATTCCAGTTGTTAACAAAGTAAAATTTTTAGGTATTTTCTTAGATTGTCATATGACTGGTACTGCTCACTTTAATTACATCTGTGACAAATGTGAGAAAGGTGTTAATATTCTTAGATCCCTTTCAGGCGTATGGTGGGGTTCTCACCCCATGTGTCAAAAAATCCTATACAATGCCATCATCCGCAGTCACTTCGACTATGGCTCTTTTCTTTTGGAGCCCTGCAACAAATCGGCCCTTAATAGACTTGATGTTATCCAAACAAGATGTTTACGTATTATCACAGGCGCAATGAAATCAACTCCTAAAAATGCTTTACAAGTAGAATGTGCTGATCCCCCTCTCTCTTTACGAAGACAGTTTCTAGCTGATAGATTTCTCTCAAAAACTCTACAACTATCATCTCACCCCTTACATCGTAAACTAGAATCCTTGCTACTATTAGCTGTAAACAACTCCTACTGGTTTAATAAAAGCTGGCCCCCTATTCTTAAATCTCTAAATAGATTAAAAAATATTGGTTATCCTTGTGTAACATCCCTAATTCTACCCTATTTTGAAACCAGCTATGAAGCTATATTAATAAACCCTAAAATCACTCTGAATTTAAACATTAATAAAAATTCCCCCACTGCAAACAGAACTTTCTACAACCTTGTGGCAAAAAAATGGTCTGATTGGCTATATATTTTTACTGATGCTTCCAAATTGTCTCCATTCAAATGTGTCGGTTCTGCAGTCTGGATCCCCAAATACAAAATTGTCCTTAATTATAGATGTCCTCCCTCAAGCTTCTGTTTTTACTGGGGAAGCTGTAGCCATATATGAGGCTATTTCCTATATTCTTTCCCATAAAATTCCTAAGTCAGTTATATTTACTGATTCAAAAAGCTGCCTAATGTCATTACAGAGCAATATATTTAAAATGAATTCCATCTCCCCATTAATACTGAAAATTAAGGAACTCATACTAAATTGTAATAAGAGTGGGCTTGATGTGGAGATTGTGTGGATTCCTAGTCATTGTGGTATAGAAGGAAATGAACAGGCTGACTCTTGGGCCAAAGGAGCTGTTGATACTGGCTGTCCTTCTCATTTAATGATTTACTCTCATGATCTAATGTCATTAGCTCAAATTGAATTAAAGAACTCTTGGAACAGAGAATGGAGCACATCCAGACATATTAAAGGTTGTCACTTTGGTAAAATTCAACCCCAAATCCCTCCAAAACCTTGGTTCTTTAAATTTAGCTTTTTGAACAAACAAATCACATCTACAATCTGCCGTTTAAGGCTTGGGCATGCCTGCACTCCTGTATTTCTAGCTAAAATTAGAATCAAAGATCATTCCCTCTGTGAATGTGGACTGGATGAAGGTACCCCAGACCACATTTTCTTTAATTGCCAAAATCACCCAATTTCTTTATATGACATTCTTCCCAACACAATCCCTCGACCAATGAATATCAATTCCCTCTTAACTATCCCCAATTCCATATATGTCAATATGATCTCAAAATATATTCAAATGTATAATATTAAACTCTAATTATCGTGTACTAAATTTAGCTTAAACTAATTCTCTATTCCCTGCCCAGGCTAATTCTCTCCTATAACTAGATGTTTGCTCTATATTGTGTGGTCCATAATTTATGTATTTAGTTGCTTTGTTTTTATCCATATTTTCACCTAATAACCGCTAACTCCTTTTCCACCGAAAAGCCTAAAGACAAGGTGCGACAGACCAAGGACCGGACATTGGCAGAATTATTGTGACATAATCACAATACCAAGGGCCAAATAGACCAAATAATAATAATAATAATAATAAAATTTTGAATACATGTATTCGCCAACTAAAGTCTGAAAATACCGAGGTTGTTCTTGTAGTATATACCGAATTTAGGCCTCTTTTGCAGCCTTAAAATAAGAGATCCATTTCCACCTTTAGTGTCAACACGTACTAGAGCAGCGCGGCTGATTCGTACCTACCCTAAAAGCCTTATAAGCTTTAAAATGTTGCTACATTATTACTTTATTCGTACTTATTTTCAAGCAATTTAATTACCACCAATATTATGTTTACAAGTTATAAATTTATACAACAAACATTGTTATCCCTACAGATGCAAAGTCTATAATTCATAGAGATATGCCTATATTTAGAGTGAGATAATGGGTCACATAACTTTGAAGTGATTATCACGGCTTCCCCAAGTGATCACTGTTGTGGCACAAGTGATCTTTGAACTCATCCATCAAAGTATCGACATAAACAAATAGTACTATTTTTTCATTGATTAAAGTCTAGGTTGACAGCTGAACATAGACGGCCTTCCTCAAATATTGCGTCAAAAGGGGGATATTAGTCATAATTGATGTAATAATAGTTAACCACTAAATCCTACACATGCGGAATTTCCTTAAGCATCATCCATCACTAATAAAAAACTAGATACACAATCCCATGCAAAAGTTCTCTAAAACTGTCTCCAATTGTTTTAACGTAATTCTAGTTGGAATAAAAATACATTAATATAAATTCAACCTTAAACGCATTGCCTAAGGTTGTATTCACAAAGCTACGTACAAATTAAAAGCGCACCCAAATGTTCGAGTGGGCGGGCACTCATTCAGTAAGGACATGTTTTGTCACTGATTGTGTTTTTTATTAGTGATCGATGTTAGGCATGGAGGCTTTCACTCACTCCAGGTTTTCTAGATAATTCTTGATTATGATCGTTCTTTATAGATATCAATTCGATTAGATAGTGCATAGGTGTTTCAAAAATAAAAATCAAAATCTGCATATCCTTAAATTGCTAATCCCCAATATTGTTTTTTTAAGTAATGGTGTCGAGTAAGGATCCTCACCAAATAATATAAATTGTTTTATAGGTCTTTACTCTATGACTTATAAGGCTAATGTTCTATCATACACTAGGATCAAAGTTTTGGACCAATTTATGTACTATGTTGAGTATGTTGTTTTGAAGTAGGTATTACAAGATAACTAAACATTAAATGATTTCAAGAGTCAATTAGATCAAGATTTTAAAAAAGTAATAAATTTAAGAAAACTGTGATTCAAATTGTTTAAAAAAAAGAACTCATAACGCTACTACTCCATTTAAATAGAGTCACTTTATACAAAAGTTAAAATTAAGTAAATTAAATGCGATAAAAATCAGTAAAAAGTAGTTTTTTTTATATGAGATCAGGCAACTGAGCATACGGCTCACCTGATGGTAAGTAATTACCGCCGCCCAGAAGCAACTGCAACACCAGAGGAATTGCAGATGAGTTGCTGGCCTTTTAAAAAGGAGTACGCCCATTTCTTGAAGGTCCCTAAGTCGTATCGTATCGTATATAGTTGTGCGAGAAAGAAAACTTGTTTTAAATCGCACATTGGTGGACTGCCAGTCATCCAGATGGTATGGATGGTATCGCGAGTTTAGTCGCGATCTGCGATGGTGAAATTGTGCGGCTGGAATTATTCCAAACAATTCCTCAGAGCACTCCCCGTGGTAAATGTGATAAAGTACGCAAAGAGATGCAACATGGTCTTTGCAGTGCCAGTGAGTCAAGCCGATCGGAAAGAGTTCGGTCGCCGCAATACGAACAGCTCTGCACTGTATGCCATCAAATGGCAGGAGCTGGCACTGGGGATTCCCAGCCCAGAGATGGGAACATTATTCAATGTGTAGTGTTCGCATAAATATAAGAAATCATAACGCTATTACTCTTGTTAACCACTGTAGGTAACCTTAAAAATGCTTGTGTTCAGAGTGGTTCACAATATTACTTGAACTTGATTCGAACTCACAACTTTCTAAATTTGCAGTCTGAACCAATTGGAACCATTAGGCCACTGTTGCTTACTTTCTAACTTAAATTAGTAAAGGTACAGTCCATATATGTCCCACTGCTGCTCACAGACTCATTTCAAAGAGGATTATGGAGCAATTAGTCTGCCCGGCTTCTCTTGTGTACATTTGCAGACTTCACATGTATATTTTTTATTTATATATTTACTTATATATTTTTTACTCAGACATGCAGTTTACCTTCATCAACTGTTTTGTTCATAAATTGTTTTCATAGGTAATTATTAATAAATTGTTTTATTTACTCTAGGGCTTTTAAGGCTAATGTTCTATCATACACTTAGATCGACGTTTTGGACAGATTTCAGTATTATGCTGTTTTGAAGTAGGTCTTACGAGAAGTTACAGCCTATATAAGTTCCACTGCTATGCACAGGCCTCCCCTCATTTCAGGATTTAGGGCAATGTGTTTTAGCATGTGTGTTGGCGAACTTCACATAGTAAATCAACGGTTAAAATTGCAATAAACAATTTCATTGGTGTTATCGGGTAACGAACCAAGGTTACTCTTGTACTGAGATTTACAATGGGTGCTTAGTCCTGGAACTAGCATGGGCTCTTTCTATTGTGATATTAATTTAAACATTCAATACGATAATTTTAACTTCATGTAAAACTGTATAATATGCAGTGTATAAATAACATTCTCTTATTAGTTAGTTACTCACCAATATACAATGTTTTCTTTGTTTGCCAGCGTGACACGGCGCCAGCGATAAAGGGGTGGTGTCCGCAAGCCGATTGAATACGCGCCTCTTCCTTTACTTGGTTCACAGCGCTTTCACTCACTATCTGAAAGAAAAATAATTTAAAATCATAATTCCAAAACGAAATTATGAAAACATTATTGATAACAGATGGAAGAACTTTTGAATTAAGATCATCTTCAATAAGCAAACCATATAATTTCTTTTGTAAATATGAAGGTGTCTATTATACATTTATTTTACAAGGGTATAAACTAACAAACGAACACATCATTCATCTGTTCGTTTGTTGATTATTGATTATACGTTTGTCGATTGTCTGATTCATTCATCATTGATTAATAATTAAAAATTAAAAATTTAGTACAACTGTCTTCAATATAAATTATTAAGAATAACTCAAAAACTATTGGTCAAACCTTGATCAAATTTATATGGGACCACATGTGAAGCACCAGCTTTCAAATAAAAAAAGAATCATCGAAATCGGTTCACCCAGCAAAAAGTTATGAGGTAAAACAGATAAAAAAAACAGAGTTGAATTGAGTACTGTCTCCTTTTTGAAGTCGGTAGAAAATCAAAGTGCAGACACATTATCACTTGTCTCGGTTAGAGGTCCAGGGTTGCCAGCCCTACTATAAAATATAATATTCTAGTATATAGAATAGTAGTCTAAAACTATATTATCATTAAGGCAAAACTATTACACTTTAATAGGCCTAAAGGCTCGAAGCAGCAAATTTATACATTTCGAAAATAAACATATTGATTTGAAACATCTTCGTAATCATTACAGCTCTTCACAATCCACTGCTGTACATAAGCCTTGCCTATCATTATCATCATCATTACAGCCCTTCACAAGTCCATTGCTGAACATAGGCCTCCCCCAAGGAATGCCACAAAGCACGGTCCTGAGCCACCTGCTTCCATCGAATTCCTGCATGTCTTACAAGACTGTCACTCCATCTAGTGGGAGGTGGCCTACACTTCACCTACCGGTACGAGGCTGCCACTCGAGAACCTTTTTCCCCATCGGTTGTCAGTTCTTTGAGCTATATGGCTGGCCCATTGTCACTTCAGCTTACTAATCCGATCTTCTATATATAATAAAATCTTCCCTAAGGAATACCAAAAACACAGTAATGAGCCACCGGCATCCTCTATTGCGTAGATGCACAGACCGCGGCCCGCCGGTCAAATACTGGTGGCCCGCCGACAGCAAAAATAATACTCTCGTACATTCGAAAAATATTGAATTATATTCCAGAATAAAACCAAAAAAAATATGTTCGAAAAGTAATTTGAATCTCGCGCGCGCGCTCTTAAGTGCGCTTATCGGTGCGCCGTGCATGCGTCGGTAATAGGAACAAAGGAATATAATGTAAAAAGGCACTATGAAACGCAGCATCCTACCTTTACCAAGTTTACAGGCGAATTAAGAAAGCAAAAAATGTTGTATTTAAAACGGGAGTTTATTGGTCAGCAAGCTGTTTACAAAACTCATTCAAGATTCAGAAACAGCTACAGAAGTTAGTTATGAAATTTCTCGAATGATAGCAAAGCAAAGTCGCCCCTTCAATGATGGGGATTTTGTAAAAAAATGCATAGAAATTGCCGCTAAGAAAATGTGTCCAGAAGCAGGAAAAACGTTTGAGAAAATTCAACTGAATCGTATGACTATCCAAAGACGAATTATGTCTTTGTCAGGTAATATTGCGGAACAATTAAATGAAAAAACTAAGATCATTGAATTTTTTTCATTAGCACTCGACGAATCCACTGATATTAGTTCCACAGCTCAACTTCTGATATTCATACGAGGTGTTACTCAAGATTTTGAAGTCTTAGAAGAGTCATTAGGAATGTGTTCATTGAAAGGTCAAACCAGAGGAGTTGATATACTCAATGTAATTTTGGATGAGTGTTCAAAAACTGATTTGGACTTTTCAAACAATTCCTTGATGACATCGAAAGCAAATATGGAGATTTACTGTATTATACAGAAGTAAGGTGGCTAAGTTGTGGATTGACACTGGAACGATTTCTAAATTTAATAGAAGAAATTGGAACATTTCTGGCGGAAAAGCAAAGGGATGTCCCGGAACTTAAAAATCCTGACTGGTTGTGTGTTTTGGCTTTTTTAGTTGATATTACAAATCATTTGAATGTCTTGAACACACAGCTTCAAGGCAAAAATCAACTGATATCCCAGCCAGCTCTACGCTCATGTATCATCCTTTCAATGCAAGCTGACACTTTTCAGATCGCAATTGAATTCTGGAAATTACAATCAAATATCCGAATTATAAGAAAATGCCTGAAAAATTTAACAAAACTGCAATTAATTTCAGTTATGTAGAAAAGCTAGATATTTTGATTCAATCCTTTCAAGACAGCTTTTCGGAGTTTAAAAAAGTAAAACCTCTGTTAGACATATTCAGCAATCCTTTCACGATTTCAGTTGAAAATGCGCCAGAGTCAATGCAGTTAGAAATTATCAACATTCAAAACGACCAAGATTTATGCAACAAATTCAACGAAGGAGACTTGCTGAACTTTTACCGCTGCATTGATAAAAATACATACAAAGAGTTGCGCATAAACGCTCTGAAATGTGCCAGCTTATTTGGTTCTACCTATATATGTGAACAAACCTTTTCAATACTAAATAATAATAAAACAAAAAATCGAAACCGCCTTGCAAATGTAAGTTTGGAAGCAGTTTTACGTGTTGCTACAAGTAAATTTGAGCCAAATATAAAAAAGATTGTAAGCACTATGCAGTGCCACGCTTCAAATTAATTAATTCTTTTTCAATTTTAATACATTATTATCAATTCTTTATTGTCTTTAATTACCTATACTTCTGGCGGCCCGCCATCAGTTCATAATTTGCTGGAGTGGCCCCTAGTCTTAATAAGTCTGTGCATCACTGCTCTATTGAAACACTATGTTATTTTTTATTTCTACTAACTTGTGAATAATATTTTTTAATATACTAGCTTTTTGAACATCATTAGTGTTCCATGCAACTTCAGGATCACCTCAATGTTTGTCAGTATTTGTCTGTCATAATAGTTTTTCTATTTTATATAAACATTCATAGATATAAATCCCATATAATATATCTGATATATTATATCCTAAAATAAGTATAATATTTTATTTTTATGTAAACATAATCTCTCTTTAAAGCCTATTTTTGCTACTAGTGATTTTATTATTTCTTAGCAATAGTGTAAAATCAAGTCATGAGAAAAACAAAAATAATCACAAAACAAATTAAAGTCAAGATATTTGTTGGCACATTTATACAATACCGATTGGGTCGAGAGTAAGCAAGAGGTTATAAGCAAAAGAGCAAGTTGAACATCCGCTCTGACACTTTTACTATTTTTAACAATTAACCTTTCCTGGTGTATTTCCGTATACACATAATACATAATCAAATGGTAACTAATAGAATCGGTCATTAATTTGCGGAAATCCATTACGTCCTTAATTGCATGCACCATCCACATGGGGATAATCCACACAATTGAGTGAGGGCGAGAGGTGCTCTTCAAACTAGGCAAGACACATCATTTTATTTTATCAAGGGGATGGATGTACGCAAAGTAATTTTTACCAGCTTTAATATATTCAAATGGCATTAATCACCACTAGCTTAATATTGATCAATCTTTTTTTCATTTATAATAATATATCTTTCTTTTATTTTTATTTTCTTTTATTTTGCCGTGTAGTGGCGGTCAAGAATATCCACTACCCCATATCCTCCCGTGGGTGTCGTAAAAGGCGACAAAGGGAAAAAGGCAGGAGATGGGCAGCAGTATCTTCCTGATAATAGCCAAAATTATAATAAAAAAACTGCGGTTGCCAACCCGCTCGCCAAGCGTGGCAACTATGGCAAATACCCCCTCTATGAGTGTAACAAAGAGACGGCCCCCAGTCCCCGGCGGCCCCGCTATTCCTGGTTTATGGGGAAGAAAGGTTCTCGAGAGGCAGCCTCGTACCGGTAGGCGAAGTGTAGGGCGTCCCCCCACGAGATGGAGTGACGACCTGGTAAAACATGCGGGAGGTCGATGGATGCAGGTGGCTCAGGACCGTGCTTTGTGGCATTCTTTGGGGGAGGCCTATGTTCAGCAGTGGACTTGTGAAGGGCTGTAATGATGAATGATGAATAATATATCTTTCAGTCTTAACATATTTTAACTATTGATTAGTCAACAACATAATATAAGTAACACAGTTTATCAACATCCAGTACATTTTTCATGTAAAAAATTCATATATATTGTCATATATATCAAGTTATCCTTTGATTTATATGCTTTAACCCTGCTAAGGGATTAACTTATTATATTTATAATAATATTAATTTTACATAATAAATAGAAGATAGAGAGATAGCCGAGATTATAGGCATCTCTTATGAACGAACTCAAAACATCATTGTCAACGAGTTGGGTTTCCACAAGGTGTCTGCGAGGTGGGTTCCGCGACTGCTTTCAGTTGAACAAAAAAGGACGCGATTGACTATTTCACGCGACTGTTTGGAGTTATTTGAAGCCGATGCAGATGATTTTTTGAATCGTTTTGTTACTATGGACGAAACATGGGTTCATTACTGTACACCGGAAACAAAACAACAATCAGAACAGTGGAGAAGAACTGGTTCACCACCCCCTAAAAAGGCTAAGTCGATTTTGTCGGCAAATAAGGTGATGGCTTCAGTATTCTGGGACTCGAAAGGTGTGATTATGATTGATTATCTTGAAGGGGGTCAGAATATAAACTCTGATTACTACTGCACCTTACTACGTCGTTTACGAGAGGAAATAAAAGAAAAACGTCGAGGAATGCTCAGAAGAAAAGTCCTGTTTCATCAAGATAACGCCCGTGTTCACACGTCAGTACAGTCAATGGCTGAAATTCACAACTGTGGCTTTGAACTGTTACCGCATCCGCCGTATTCACCTGATCTGACACCATCAGACTTCTTTCTGTTCCCTAACCTAAAAAAGCACTTGGGAGGTCAAAGATTTTCGACAAACGACGAGGTCAAAGCAGCTGTAGACGCATATTTTGACTCTAAGGAAGAATCATTTTTTTTCAACGGTCTAAATGCTTGGAAGGGGAGATGGCAAAAGTGTATTGAACTTGATGGTGATTATGTAGAAAAATAAAAATATAACTGATTTAGTATTTGTTTATTTTCTTGGTTAGGCCGAGTACTTTTCAATCCACCCTCGTATATTGCTATGCTTTTTCTTCCTTAAAATATAAAAAATAGTTACCTTTGATTTACTGAGCACTTTCAGTGCATATGCTTTTCCATCAATATTACTTTTTACTTTTACTACTTCTCCAAAAGCACCTTTTGCTATTATATTTACAATTTCATAATTTTTGTTTAAGGGGTGAGTAGTAATGAAAAATTCAGGCAGAAAAATTGATTCATTGTGACTGACAGGCCAAGCGGTTTTGCTTGCTTCCAAATGATTTTTTAGAGTTGAATCATTCCATCTGAAAGTTGCAGTGATGTATTAAATCCACAAATGTGGGAAAAGAAATCTTACACTACATAATATTGTAAATGAGTTGCTAAAACAATGATTTACTTTAGACAATCTAAAAATATACATCATAAATTTAAGGCAAACTCTAAAATGTGTGTTAAATATATATATATATATATATATATATATATGCAAAATGGTCCATTTTTTATTTTTTTATCGTATGCGTGTGTTCTACTAACCTTCGTCTAGAAATCCGAGACCAAGGTCGCGATGCGCTGTACACGGACTGGTTGCTTGTTAGGCTCGCAAAAGAACGCCCGCTAAGGTTGCCGACGAAATGGGAGAGACTGAACTGTACACAAAAATAAATTAACGTCAATATTCACCTTTTCAAGCAACAAAGAACAAACAAACAACAAAGGCCCTCCGAAACAGTGTCGAGCTAAGCGTATATAGTTATAAATTAACTCAATGATGTTAGATTTATGAAATCTAGTAATATTGTCCTAATGTTCTACGAACAACAAAGCGTTTACATATTACGTACATTCAGCTGAGAATGACATTAGCAAGTTTTCATTTTATCGTAAATTACCTGACTTGTAAATTGTTGGCCGTTGCGACTTGAATTCACTGATTGATTGTGGTTCCCGTAAATATTACTCTTATTGTGCGAATTTCCCATTAAACTAATGTTCTGGTAAATTATTTTTAATTAAATATCTTCATTATGTATTTTCCTGCAAACAAAACCTTCTCTGTACCATAGATAAATACAGATAAATAAATATGTAGTAGTAGTAGACAATAACAATATTTATGTAGCAAGCCGGTGTGATCAGATTAAATTTTATGAAAATACCGAAGCATCTCAATAAAACTTAAATATACCGACTTACGCAGGGCAAAACTGATTAATAACAAATAAACAAAATACTGATTTTCTAACATATTTTATTCATTCATCATCACGATAAATGTTTGAATTGTATTCTAACATTCTTTTCGAAGGATTAAAATTGACACAATCTCCTTCATCTTTTTTTTTTTTTTTTTTTATAGGAGAGGGGGCAAACGAGCATGCGGCTCACCTGATGGTAAGTGACTACCGCCGCCCATGAACAACCGCAACACCAGGGGAATTGCAGATGCGTTGCCGGCCTTTTAAAAAGGAGTAGGCTCTTTTCTTGAAGGTCCCTAAGTCGTATCGGTCCGGAAAAATCGCTGATGGTAATCGATTCCACAAGGAAGTCGTGCGAGGAAGAAAACATCTTCTAAATCGCACAGTGGTGGACCGCCAATCATCCAGATGGTGTGGATGGTATCGGGAGTTCTGCCGCGATGTGCGTTCATGAAATTTGGCGGCTGGGATTAATCCGAACAATTCCTCAGAGCACTCCCCATGGTAGATGCGAAAGAAAATGCAAAGAGATGCAACATCTCTTCGCAGTGCCAATGAATCGAGCCGATCGGAAAGGGCTCGGTCGTCGACGATTCGAGCCGCTCTGCGCTGTATGCGGTCAAGTGGAAGGAGCTGGCACTGGGGAGCCCCTGCCCAGAGATGGGAACAGTATTCCATGTGAGGCCGAACCTGCGCCTTGTAAAGTTGCAGGCGGTGTGCCGGCATGAAATACTGTCCCGCTCTGCTGAGCACGCCAAGCTTTTTAGAGGCCAATTTGGCCTTCTCTTCCAAGTGACCACGAAACTGCACGTCACTCGATATGTCGACTCCGAGGATACCGATACTGGCTGAGGCAAGAAGGGGAGTGCCTTGAAACTGAGGAGATACGACAAAGGGGTTCTTTTTAGCGGTAAACGCGCAAACTTGTGTCTTTAACACCTTACTTTGTTTTCTACCAACTTCAAAAAGGAGCCGGTACTCAATTCGACTGTATGTTTTTTTATGTGTGTTACTTCATAACTTTTTACTGGATGAACCAATTTCTTTTTTTATCTTTTTTTTTTAAATTCTCCTGTTTCGTGGAGGCAGTTTACAAACACAAATTTTACAAGGACAAACATCCAGACCCGGAACAATTATTTGTAGACCATACAAATACTTGTTCCGTGCGGGATTCGAACCCGCGCCCCCCAGTGCAGCAACTCATTGCTAAGCCACTGCGCCACGGAGCCGTCGATGATTCTTTCTTTATTTGAAAGCTCGTGCTTCACATATGGTCCCATATAAATTTGATCACGGTCTGACGTATAGTTTTTGAGTTATTCCTAATAATTTATATTGAAGTCGGTTGTACAAAATTTTTAATTTTAAATTATTAAAATTGCTGATACATTTTAGTTTGTAAAATTGTTTCTTTGGTCCGTTTTTATTACATTTATTTGTGAAAATATGCGCTCACGTGCTGCATTATATATCTAAAGTACTAACTAAAATAAAATTTAGATATATTTCTATATTTTAACATGCTATCACTGTTAGATATTTTCCCAACTTTCATCCAAAATTGCTTACAAGAAAGGGGAGAGTCATTATTCGAAGATTGTAACAAATCACTCACTTTGCGATCATGTTTTAGGGTTCTATATTATACGTCAATTAACTGTATTTGTTGTGGCTGTACTTTATATGGGAAAATTTCTATTAAATTTCTTAATCTGTTAAATTCTTCATGCATGTCAGTGTGGTGGTCAAGAAATTTAAGTTCTCGAAAAATTTGATTTTCAAAAGGCAAACATGATTTCACTTGCGTGCTCAACTCAATTAGAAATGAAACCTTTTGAAAAATTCAGCAATTGGTTCTTTCATGTTTATGTTTCCCCTGTGTTTGATTCATTCTTGGCCTACTTGGTTACCTTAGTACGTATCTTTAAATGGCAGATAATTTACTTTAGACTTGTGGGTCTAACGCAAATACATTGTCCGTGCTTTTGATATAATTAGTTTTCATGAAGCAACTATTTGTTTACTATCGCCAATACTTTGAGTGTGGCAACATCTGTACTTTTGTCGATTACAATTGAATATTCTGGTTTACCTGAAGGAGATGCAATGTCAAGTATGTCTTCAATTATATATTATTCGCATTGGAACCCTAAAACGTTATAAGTTATAGCGGCTGCTTTGGTTCTCTAGCAGGAAAATTTTCTCGCAATTTCGGAGTCGGGAAAACATTTCAATAATATGGCCCATAGCTCCAAAAGGGATGTTGTGTCTGAAAGAAAACTGCATTAACGCAGCCCAGCTTTCTTGAATTCGTCTTTCAATGGTGTCTTTTTGAAAAATGTATCGCCCTGGAAACAACATAATTTGTAAACACAATAAAACAAACACTACATGAATTCTATTTTACTATAGCATGTAGCTAGAACACGCACAGATATACCAAACAAACATCATTGCTTGTGAAACAAATATAAATATAAACCTAAATCTTTTTTCATGTCTGTTTTTATCGATTTATGCTTTCAAGTATTTTTAGATATAGATTATAGATGCTAGCTTACTTTGGAATTTCGTATTGCATGCTTTGTGAAAGGCGGCGAACTTGTCATCATTATGACGTGAAAGCACGAAGAAAATTCCTTAATTTGTTCCCACTTACCAAATAATTTTGCTGAAAACTAGATATGCTGTCCAGATGGATGTGTTAAGTAAAATAAAAACCCATTCTATTTATATGACGACAAAAACGAACTACTTATTTGGTGAATCCCCAAATTTGTGGTTAATGATAATTCGGAAATTCCCCAATTATCAAAAAAACAATATCAAAGATTAACTCGAATGCAGAATAGAAAATCATTTGACTTAAGCAAACCGTATTAGACGATTTGATACTTTTTGTAATTCATGCACAAAAGTATTTTATGTATCTACTTACCTATTCATACAACTGAAAACTTAAAATCAAAATCTTGTTTTGAAAATATTAGTTTTTTATTGTATAGTGTAATAATCTTATAACCATCTGTAACTTATTGATCTTTGCTCCTAAATAAAATGTAGACTTAATCAGGGAAATTCTGTGAATACCAATATTCGTTATCATTACTTTTTATCCGAAATATACCTGAAAATACTGACTTCCTGCAATATACGTACAAAAATACCGATGTTCGGAAAAATCGATAAAATATACTAAAATAGTAGTAAAATACTGAATCTGGTCATCTCTCTCTGTACCATAAACCATAAACCTTTCCATACTCAGAACAATAACTAAAGCATAGAAGGAGCCTGTCTAACAGCTATCGAAGAGGTATGGAGTGTAGAGAGAAGGAGGACCATCTTTATATATGAAAAGTGTCCCTAAAAACGTGTCCAATAAGGGTGGCGCTGTAGTAGCATAGGATAAATTAAAAAAAAAACCGCCAAAAGTAATTAGAATAAGATGGAGAAATAAACAAGGACCGACCAATCAGCTTGGTTTTGTACTACGTAAATAATTGAGATTTTGTATACTGGCATTTTACTAACTACTCTAGTCATGAATTTTTTTAAATATTTGAATTCAGCTGACTTCACTCCGTTCACAACAGCTATCTTCATATCGTAATTTTTCAAACGCCAGCGCTATTGTGGTATAGTAAGACACTCTTTCAACTTTCGCCCCTTATAAGATGGTTCTCCTTGAGGGAGTATGTACAAGTAGTTTCTCTCTCTACGAACAGCTATATATACATCTCTTTTTTCAAAGTATATCAGAAAGAGATAAATGAAAGTTTGTCAATAGGTACCAATGTACATTTGGCAAACGTCAGTTTCGATACCTAGGTTACTTTTGTGCTACTAATTTAAAAAGTAAGATTTATAAAAGTTTTTTGTCTATGGCTATGGTCATCTTAAATTGTTCGTATAATATGCTGGCTTGTCTTCAGGTTGTCTGTGTTAAAATTGAGTTTTCGCTTGGAAATCATAATTATTTCGCAGTATGAGTGTGAATCGAAAAATTAATAAAAAGAACAATGTCCTGCATTATAGTGGGATGTAAATCACATTCCTCTAGGAAAGAAAACGACTCCGAAAACATTAGCTTTCACCAGTAAGTCATTGTGTCAACATTTGAAACACATTTTATGAGCATTTTCAATAGGTAGAAATTCACGTTTTTTGTCATTTTTACTTTAAAATCGAATAACCTTTTAATAAATTAAGTTTTTTGTATGTTATAATAAAATTGAATATTTGTGGTTTAAAATTTTGCCAATAGTATTGGAAAATATATCTCTAGTATAAATTATCGATAGTTTACGATTAAATTAAAAGTTTCCTATGGACATCAATTTAAGACAAAAATGGATCAACGCTATTACACGTCGCAATTGGGAGTGGAAATAGCACCACCGTATTTGTTTCAGACATTTTAAAGATGACTGCTTTATAAATGTCGAACACAAATGGCGCAGGTTGAAATTAAATGCTATAACTTCACTACATCTGCGATATAACAAACATTATACAGTAAGATCCTCTTTACAATAAATCTGTTTATTGTTTTGATTTGTTTAAAAATTAAATTACTGATTACGCGGTGTTGATATGATATGTTGATATTAAGTATCCCACCCTTAAATTTCAAAATTGTTTATTATTATTTCCTCCATTGTTTATTTCGTTTAATTCATACATTTCCTATGATGCAAAAATAACATAAAATAACTAAATTGTTCTAGAACTATAGCAGCCCTGCATCTACACTGGCGACTGCATCAACATCCAGTGTGTCTGAAAAGAATATTGCATCAACATCCAGTGCTATACCGACAATTGCACCTACACCATCCAGTGCAACATCAACGAGCACAT